TAGTGTTGGGGGAGAGATTAGTAAGCAGAAGGAAGGAGGTGAAAAAGCAAATATGCTGAAGGAAAGGCTGATTCTCTGCTGGTCCTTTTTATTCCCTTTTGCCTCCTCATGTTCAGTTAGGAAACAAGTACTCTTTAGTGATAATATTCAGGGTAATGGCTTGCAATTCCAAAAGGGATGGGCAAAAAAGGTTTGTAAAACTGCTTTTAGTGAAACTGATTAAATTTTGAAGGAGACGCTTTAAAGAAAACCCCAACAAACTACGTCAGAAATTGATTGTTTCAGAAAATTGTGGAGTTTTGTTACAAAATGGCAATGCTTTGTTTTCACTGCTCTTTATTATCCCTTTATTCTACATCTCGTATAATTTTATATTATTTCCTACCACAGAAGGAAGAAGTTATATTTAACACATATTGCCACTGTCAGCTCTGTGCAATGGCAGGGCAGATGACAGCAAGCCTTAAAACCTTTCTGCAACCCAACAGATAGAGCTGGAAATAGCTAGCATGGTGTTTTTATCTGGTATGGCAACATAGCATGTGATCTTACTTTCACCCAAAGATTTGTGCTTACTTTTAAATCACTTTATTTCTGAAATGCCACCTTATTCCATTTTGTGTGTATAAATCATCTTTTACACTTTGTGGTGTATAAATCATCTTATCCCTCGTTTTATAAGAAAGTAATTTTCAGTTTAACTTTCTCTCCTGTAAAATGGGGATAACAGTTTCCGCAAACTTCCTCAGGTCTCACGGGGTCAGCTGTGCTGCTGTCTCCCTTCTCTCATACTATAAAGTTTTTCCAGTTATCCCTGGAAACATTTCTTCCTTTTCTGAACACTGCTTTTCCACCTCTTAGCCTGGCCTGTGCAGCATTTCAGACCACAAACTCTTTCGATACCCAGCAAGAGATGTGCTGGAGACCTGAGTACATGCGTGGAGGTAGAAAAGAATACAGATTACCTTCTTTCTCTTTTATCCCCAAGGCTCTTTCATTAACATTCCTATGATACATCTTATTTAGCATATTCATGGCTTTAGGCTTCTTGTGTCCATTATAGCCTTCTAAAGAGAGTGATAAAACTTTATACATTGTATTGTGAGAAACATTACATATCCAGTCATTTTAGTAGGTTCAGAACGAATCTTGTTTAGGGAGCATTATACAAAGATCAAAACTGATACCACAGCTAGTGAAACCAGGAATGGGATGCTTGAATTGACTTAACACTGCCAACATCCAGTAGCTATTCTCGGATTTACAGGGTCTGTTCTTGAAAACTGTCTCTTGCAGGGCATGCCGTCCCTGGAGACATAGAAGAGTGTCTGGTTCTTTCTCTAAAGAAACTTGGCATAATGGCACAGGTTAGCAATTGGCCAAGGGCCTTGATAACATCCTCTCAGATTTAAAAGGACTCCCAGGCCAAGAGGGCAGAAGAGATATTTTTAAAAAATATATAAATATTTCTGCCTCAGTCAGGGATGTGTCGGAAGCAGCAGGTGCAGAATTGCTCTGTGGAGGTAGGAAATACTCCCCTAGAGACAGAAGAGCTCCCCTTTTGTCTGAGCTGCTTGATCTTTTGTTAGATAAGGAATAAAAGACATAATAAGAAATAAAGCACGAATGTGCCTGTGCTGTCCTGGTTGACAGGAGGAAAGACCAGGCTACTGCATTCCAATGAAGTTTTCTTTTTTTAATGTGTTCCTTGTCTTCAGGTTGGGCT